GCGCAGCGCCGCCCGCCTCAGCCCCGTGCCCGCGCTGCTGCGCGACCTCTCGGCGCTCAAGGCCGCCGTCATCGGCGCGTGCGCCCTCACGGCCGCGCTCATCGCCTGCCTCCTGCTGCGCGTCTTCAGGTAGGCGCCGCGCGGCCTCCCCGCGCGGGCTGCGGGCTCCGCCGGTGCTGGGGACCCGGCCCGCGGCTCCGCTGGCCCCCGGGACCGCCAGGACACGCGTCCGGTCGCGCCGGGGCCCTGCCCAGCCCCGGGCTCTGGACTCCAGGTTTTAGTGGATTTCTCGCCCGCTACTAATCTTTTCAAAGCCTGACCTGCGATAAAACACTCACTTGAAGACTTAACGTGTTTTCTTGCCTTTTTTTCCCCATTGCATCCCTGCAGCGTGTTCAAGGAAGGTGCAGTTGGGCACTTAGGGACGTGGGTTAGCAGGCACATGACATTGGGTTTGCGGTTGGACTTGGAGGCCTTTTCCAACCATAACGGTTCCACGATTCCCAGTGTTGCAGTAAACCAGAAGGGGCTTCAGCGGGTTCCAAGCAGCAGTTTCCAGGCTGCTGTCGGATGCACGCACCTAATACGCGCTCCCTGCCTGAGCAGGTAGACTTGGCCCGAGGAGATGCAGCAGGACCAGAGCAGGTGTCATTTCAGACCATGTCCCTCGACACACATGTGGCTCCAGAGCCAAATTTCCTGAGGCTTCAGATGGGGCGACTGCTGGTGGATGCAGCATCCCGCTCCCTCCGCTAAAGGGGAAACAAGCGCAGCAGCTTGTGGAGCTAAGGGAAGTGCTGGGGCCCGGCCACGCGTGCTGCAAGGTGCCCTGCCAGCCCTTGGAGCTCCGTGAAGCCTCCTGCTGCAAGGAACGTGAGTGGGTTCAACCCAACGGCTTTAGCAAACCAGTCCCTCCTGTGGCTTATTGCAGGAAAAGCAAATATTAAAGCTCAGTTTGGCACCGTTCGTGTTAATTATTAGTTAYTCCAAGGTAGTGGCTGGAGTCCCGGTTGTGCACTGAGGGCTGCCGCTTTCCCTCGCAGCCGACGAACCAAGTGGCCTGACTTTGCAGCAGAAGATTGCAAAGCCTCAGGAGKTAACGGCAGCCCCGACTTCGGGGAATGGGCAGCGGGAAAGTGCCTGGAAAGCGGAGCAGCTCGCTCCACAGGGAGCGGGGCTGCCCCGGGAAGGAGCAGGAGCGCGACAGGCTCTGGCGACAGACGCACTCCAGCAAGCAGAGTTCACAGTTTCTTCCCTGTTCCCTTTTGGTTTACGTGATGGCTACAGGTGGCTGCTGTGGTTCTCCTGTTTCTGAAGCCGGTCAGTGCAGGAAGGGCACTGACCTTCCTTAATTAATGTTCATAACAGTAATAGCAAAAAGGCTGCATTTAGAGACTGAGATGACCAGAACTGATACTTTTGTCTAAACAATTTGGTGTTTTGCTAAACAACTGCTCCCATGCATAGCAATAGCTGACAAAAGACAAGGCAAATGTGCAAGTGAATTTACTCAATAAACTGAAGTCGTTAAATGGAACAGGTAAAACCACTGTTTTTCTTAATCAGTGTCACCCAACTTGCCATCCTTGTTAAGCTATGAATATGAGTTATGAAACAGCAAGTGCAGAACGAAAGGCAGAAGGCCGTAGTCACAGTTCTTCCAGTTCTTCCCACTTTCCTTCCCCTTCCAAAGTTAGTGTTATGCAACTGGGCAGAGTTAATGGAGCATTAAAAACACATAAAAATTCTCTCCCAGATCTCTCCTCTGTCTTTAACAGACTCTCCAAGTGAAAATGAAAGATGACACTTTAGGCCTTTGAATAGTTTTAAAATTCATTTTGATTTTTTATTCCGAAAGAGCACTTGCTTGGACACAGTTATCTGAGTTGCAAAGACGAGAATACCAACAGGTACATTTGTTCTGTGTCAAACTCACAGCCCACAAACTAGATCGGAAGGCAATTCTGTGTTGCAGAAGAGATAAGGGATTCACCCTCAATAAATGCAGAGCTTTTCTCCATCAGAATAAGAGCTTTATTCATACTTGGTCAAAAGCACTGATTTTTTTTTTTTAAGTGTCATGGATTCCTATTTAAGGAGATTTTGCTGGATTCCATTCTTTGATTAAACCTTCACTGTGAAATTACCCTGGATTGCTGGAAGTAAATTAGCCTTTTAGATATGGATTGCAGAGATGAAATGAGCTAGTAAATGGACAGCTCTTCCTGTCACAGGAACGTTATTGATTTTTGGTTAGAGCAGGGTTGGATATGTCTGGGGCCTTCCAGCTTTGAAAGACAKTGTTCTGAGAAGCCTGTTCAATCCTTCTGGGATTGTTATGCTCTAAATCCTTTCAGTGGTCCCATGGTTTAGGATGTTGTATTACATCCTAAGTGATCTGAATTTCCTCCTTTCCCCCTTCCAGTTGTGTCTGCTGTCGACCAGAAAGCAWAGCCAAAATAGTCTCCTTATGGCAAAGCCTAATACATTTTGAGTAAGTTTAGTTYTGGACTTTCATACAGCCCTGGGCACCGCGTGCTCCCAAACCAGCACCATTTCCATAGCAGACCAAAGCACGTGTTGCTCTCAATCAGAAAGCTGGGTAAATTGGATTACCAGGAAACACAATTTCTACAAACAGCTTAGGACCAGATCCTGGGGCTAGGTATAGACTGTGTGATCTGTGTTTTTGATTTTTGYGTTTCCTTACTCACAGTCCACCGATTTTTTTACCCTGGTGCAGCTCATCTCCTCTCGCTGCAATGCAACAGTTAGGAGCAGCTCCCAGGAAAGATCATTTTTCAGATCATTTTCTCTATGCAGGTAGACTGTGTATCTTCTGGGGAAACTGGATAAGTTGCTTTTGCCGGTGTGTCTTCTGCAAACACCCAGTGCTGCAGTTGCAGGAAGCTGTAACAGTGTTTGCTATGTGTCTTGACCTGCCCTAGAACGAACAAAGCTTAAGCTGGGAATGACTGATATTTATCTAGACGTTAAGAGCGAAGCTACCTGCTTGCTTTGTTACTCATTGCTTTGTTACATTGCATGGAAAAAAACTACATTTAGTTTTGGTTCTTCCCCAAATAACTGTTTTCAGCTTAGCTTTTTATCGATGGCAATGCTCACAGAAATTAGTAAGCTTGAGGAGAGAGGTTCAAGTATATTGAGGAGAGAGGTTCAAGTATATGATGAGGGGATACAAGACCCGTGGTTCTGTGAGGAATCGCTCCAGGGCATCCAGGGTTTAACCCTGGAGAGCCCGAGTGTCAACTGCATGCGCGAGAGCCAGGGTGCTCCGGCAGGGAAAAGGTTGGCAGGAGTGGGAGGGAAACACACACCTTAAAGTGACCTTGGAAAATAAATAAAACAGACTTGACCTCACACTCAAAACTTCATTTAAGCTCCACGTAATTAGGGCCGTGGAGGGGAGGATGTCAAACAAGGCATCTGTCCTGGCCCTCAGGGGCCTGGTCTCCAGAGCGATTGCGTATACCTGATGTGAGAGCAGACTGGCAGCAGAAGCAGAGAGGACTTTGAAATCTGGTGTTACCTGGGCTCTTTGCAGCTTTGATGCAAATAGCCAGAACAGAGGATAAGTTCTGTTTCCTTCTTTAGGATTCACTGGCTTGAAGACTTCGGGTAGGTTGCACATATGTCTGCATCTCTCCTACAAATCAGGGATGATTCATGAGCGCTCCTCGGGTGTGAGTGCTCTGTGCACTGTGATGTTTGACATCACACACACTGGTGCACTGGCACTGACCACTGGACGGAGGTGACTGCGTTTTAATCGCTGTCAGGCATCACTGCTTCACTGAGCTACAACAATATCTCATTTAGAGGTTCCTGAAGTTATTCCCGTCACAGCCGCTGGCCCTCCTATTAGCCGGGCAGCTGGGCGAATGAGGCCTTCTGTTCTTGGTGGCTCAACAGCTTCTTTCTCAAGGAAGTGACATAGAAAAYGCAGCATTTTCTGTTTGCTACAGTAAAATGCATATCTTGAAATATGTATTGATGCATAGAGCACCATCCAGAGAGCAGAGATACGACAGATCAACAATAATGAAATAGCTACCTCTAACTCATCAGCCAGTATTAAGCCTGGAGCTTCTCCTGGTTTATGTTTCCATAAAGGTTTTCTTGTTTGCTTGTTTGTTTTAACTGCTTAGGGAGCCCATTAATAGCAAACAGCCTGGTCCCAATTCCATTCCTTATGTAACACTGATGCAGTTCTAGGAGGAAAGTTGTAACTGGCTTAATTAGACTTCCAGTGGTGATTTTTTCCCTCCCTTTTTGCAGCAGGCAATTCCTTCCCCCAGCATCCTTAGGCAAGAAGCGTTAATGCTGCGTTAGAGATGCAGAGCCCTCTTTCTCTGGGTCAAGAGAAGCATTATCTGTGAGTATCAGGGCTGTTGACTAAAATAGATTAGAGACATAAATAACATAATGAACTAGTGAGTTGACTGGGGCGTTTATTCCACCACATGATGCCTCGGAAGGGAGGATGCAGCGCTGCATATGACCAGTGTTTGATCCAAATAGCCCCCGGTCAAAATAGAGGCACAAAGTCAGCGCTCTGCTCCAGCCCGCCGTCGTGGGCCATCCCTCCCTTCAATGTAGGGCCTAAAGTGAAAGGTTAATGGTYCTGGCAGCGTTTGTTTTCTCATGGTGACTCCATGCTAGCATGGAAGATGGTTTTCAGCACTGAAATACCCCAAGCCTCTCCTACTGAGGCTAAATCACACAGGGAGCCTTTCAGCTTGTCCTTATGCCAGGGGCGTGCTCTGCACACAGCTTCCAGCACTGTTTCCTTCAAAACAAGGCAAAGCTAACACAGCGGGGAAGTTTTGCCTCCTTTTTTTTTGCTATTTCTTTTTTGCCCACGAGGTCTAACACATCGTGATCCTTTCCAAGAGGTCTGGAAGGTTCAGGATACACCCGTGTGCCCTGGCTCCTACCCCTGGCACGCTGCTGGCTGCGGTCTGCCTGCAAACAGAAGATACTGTCTGGTCCCACACAGCGGACAATGTGTTTTTCCTTTTGTGTTGGAGTCCCTGACAATTAAATGGATCCTGCTGAGGTTCCACAATCCTAACGTGCAACAGGGTTTCCTGGCAGACAGCTTTATTTTGCGGGCCTGTGGGGAGATTCCTAAAGTTTTCCTTTAATTTAAGCTCAGGTGATTTATTCAGTGTTTACGGAACCTAGGGAACTTGTTGAAGAGAGCACACGTGAGCCACTGGAAACTGCAGATTAATGATAATCATGTTAGCAAGGTAAAATGATGGGGAATTAATAGAGAAAGGAGAGGCAAGGATAGCGCCGGTTGCCCTGCCTGGAGCAAACACGTGTTTGAAGCAGCTTTGCCAAATGCCAGCGACAGAAAACCCCTGCTGCCCTTTCCTACGAGAGTCTGTGGTTAAGTGAGGGTTGGGGAGGATTAGTGCATCAGGGTGTTGTGAGTTCTGCTCCAGGTCCTCTTTAAAACATAGCCCAAATAGAAGACTAATTAGCTGCCAGAGGCTTAAGGGTTCTAATTTTCCATTTCTAAAAATACCTATTGTACAGTAATTGCTTCAGACAYCCCAGAATTACTGCTAACTCCACAGGAGAAGATATATTTTCTAAGAGAGGGAATGAGTGTGGGTATCTTGCAGCAAAGTGGGCCTGACTTGCAGGTAGGCTGTTTTAGAAACATGAGAACTTACTTTAATATAAGCCCAAGTAGCAACAATATGTGCTTCATTTGTTCCCACAGGTAGACACACTTTGGTCTTAATATATGTTTATAGTCCACAGCATGAGTAAATGTTTCTTGCAAAGCGATGCATACGAGCAAGATGAGGGTTCCCTGTGTCGCTCTGCTGCTGGGTCTCGGCTGGGAAGCAGAGCGCTCTAGAGAGGTATTTTTGAAAGCATTTTCAAGTGCTTGGGTTAAGAGTCCTACTGCACTGGATAGAAAATTGCTTGTTTTAACAACAGGGGTAATAAAACAAAACATGCCGTGCTCTCCGTGACACAGCAGCAGAGATTGCCACAAAGATTAGATGGCAGGAGATGACTTTCTTCATGCTTCTGGTGCAAACTTAGTCTTCAGCACAGGGAGGAAACATGGAAAGCTCCATCCCAAGGGCGAGTCCTGGACTCCTGAACATCCCTGTTCAGTCCTGGACTGAAGCCTCAAAACCACACGAGGCAGAAGCACTGTGACTTTCAGGTCAGAGCACGTTCACATTCACAGATTTAATTTTCCTTTATTTTAGGCCTAGAAGGGACCATTATGACCATTTGCCCTGGTATCTACCAGACCTGTAAACACAGCTGTCAAGTCCCGCTCTCTTTGTAATGCCCACATATTATCCCTGCTGCTTTTTAAAAGGCAAGATCCTGATGCCAAAAAATCATGGTGTTGAAACCAACACCCCGTGCATGACTTGCCAGGGCAAGACTCCTTGACAGCAAATGGGACACGCTTGGCAGTTGTCTTTTTTCTTCTATAAAAGCCCAAAGGGAAAAACTGGGCAGTTTGTTAACTAAAATAGTGCTCTCTTCTTCCTAAAAGCTAGCTATACATGTCTATACCTTCTTTAATGTATATTAAACATGTGCCAGTTTAACTGCATAGCTGAATTTATATGTGAACCTCCTAATCCCCAGTAAAGCAGTCAGTGAAGGTAAAAGGGAGCCACACAATCCRAGCTGGAGGAGGAGAATTAGCTGCAAAGCCCTGCACCCAAGGGCTGTTAAGTGCAAGCAGGTATTAGAAAGCATCTGTAACAAAACAGGTCATGCAAGCACTTAAGCATYTCCATTTCTAAGGAAATGTAAAGCTGGAGTTTATAGGAGGAGAGGTGGTAGGTACAGTCAGTCTTTAACTGGCAGCTAATTATTTTTCACAGCACTTCAGTGGTGCCGGGTGTTAAACTCCTCAGACGAGGCTAAAGGTGGTTTCTCCAAGAGTCTTGAGCTTGACTTGGTACCCAGAACAGAAGGGCGCAGGCTGTGGTACCCATCCAGTCCCTCCCCCTTGGCTCCTCGTAGTCCTGGCTTGAATATTAGCCCATYTCAGTGGGGTTTAGCCTGGGTGTTCTCATCTGACCGTGTTCCCCAATCCTTTAGCAGCCTCTGCTGTTGCRGCCGCGTCGGACTTGCTGAGTGGAGTGGCAGGACACGCGAGCCCCAGACACCGAGGAGTTGCCACTGGCTTGTCACAACCCAARGACTGATGCTGTCTGGAGTGCCGGTGACACGAGCCTCTATAAACACCAGCCTCTATAAACACCAACCTTTCCTCCCCRCTCTGTGTTTCAGGTCTGGCAAGAGGATTAAGAAGACCAGGAAGTACGACATAATCACAACCCCAGCCGARCGGGTGGAAATGGCTCCTCTGAACGAAGAAGACGATGAGGACGAAGACTCAACAGTGTTTGATGTGAAATACAGGTACTGCCTCTGCAGGACACACATGCCCCAGATAGTTAGCAAAGTCTAAGAGCCTCAAATCTTCTTCCTTCRTCAGTTCTTGTGGGCAGTCGTTCCTGTGCAAAGTCATGTACACACGTTAGATAGAGGACTGTGTGTCAGGGCTGTTTCCCAGGCACTGTTATTGCACTAAGGCTGGGAGGGAAATCCAGGCACAGCTTCCATGACCTCTGGGTTTGGGCCTCTTCTCGTGCCTTTTTTTGTGACAAAGAAAGGACATTTGTCCCTCACCAGTGTTGTTAACAGTCCCCGCTTGGCAATGAACTTTCACTAAAGGCGTTTGGCTTTTTAAGGGAGGAGTGCTATGACAGCCCCAGCCTTTTGATGCCTATTCTAGGCAGGAGATTTATAGCAGCCACTCAGTATGCAAGGATTCTGCACACTGATTTATGGCATCAGGGTATCTATACCTCTTATTTTTGTTTGTGTCAAACTATCTATAACACTGGAGTTGCATTCTCATCCAAATAAGGTATATTATAAAATATGTGTCTCTTTGGCTGAAAGAAACCTCCTAATTATAAAACTGAAGATCTTGACAGCTCATAACTGGAGATTTAATAGAATTTACCCATGTAGCCCATCTCCTAACTTTGGAGAGGGGGAACAACACGTTTGTTCTAAGCACCAGTATTCCAGCATCTAGAACACGTACCACCGCACGCTCTGCTGGCCATTTACAAAATAACCACATTATTCCTCTTTAAAAGTCAGGCAAGAGTGGAAACCATGAAACAAAGAGTGTCAGTTGTGCCATGCTGTGTAAGTAATGAGGAGACTCCTGACTTGGCCCTCTCYGTAGCTCCCCTGTGTTTGCACCGACGGCTTCAGCTGTGCTGTTTCTCAGGCAGTTTTTACTTTGGGACTGGGCTTCGTTAAGCTGGAACAGAGAGTAAATTCCTCTCTCTGGTCTACTTCAACGGCCCATGTCTCCTGTTCTTCTGTCTCTTTACAAGTGGAAATAGCTGAATACTTTTGCTTTGTGAACTCCTGCTAGGAAGATCAGAGGGAATTTCTTTTTTTTCCTGAAGACAGAGAGCAGAAGACTCTCAATCATGGCAGTGCTTCAGGAAAAGATGTTGAATAGCAGAACAGCAGATGAACAAAGAGGAGAGTTGTTGGAAACAGTCTGACTCAAGAGAGGGCTGTAGTCGTGTTACCTGCCTTTGCTCCCCTGGAGCACACAGAGCACTGATGCTTTTGCTGCAGTTATTCAGTCTTCTCGGGTTCCTTAGCAGTACAAATGGCTCTCACCTTGCGTGATGCTCTGTTTGGAGAAAATTGGGTTTCTGATTTTTTGCCAGCCTGTCTGCTGTTCAGCTGTGGGAATTCCTCCTCTCCCCCTGGTGCAACAGCTATTGAGTTCCACATTTTCAGAAATCCTTGCTGCTTTAGACATAGTTATTTTTTTCAGCTCAGAGCTACCTCAGTTTAGAGGGTGATATCATCTTACAGACAACTCTTTAGCACAAGTGAGCCTGAGAAGGCTTCTCTGAGGCTACATTTGCCACAAGAAGTATCAAGCTCTGTGGTTCCTTTGTGCATCTCAGAAACTGCGTCCCCACTATCTGCCTCTTGACACTATTAAAGACATTCCTTTCCAAATCTGAATTCACAGAGTGGATCAGAATGGAATGGAATTGCTGAGTTCGACCATTGGTAGGGTCAAGAGTTTCTTCAGAGGCCCTTGTGTTCAGCTGGAGAGAGCGAGGTGGAGCTGCAGGGAGAGCATCTCGAGGTAGAGCTGCGGGGAGAGCATCTGGGAGCAGCCTCTGCTTGTCCGTGCCTTGAACTTGGAGCAGGGCTTCGCTCAGAGCTCCCCCTGCCGCTCTCCAGCTCCACGTTCAGGGAACAGCTGCCTGGCGCCGTCTAAGGCYTCCTTTGCGCTCCGCAGGATGCAAATGTCAGAAAGGTTCAAATAGTATAAGGAGAGGTATCTTCATGGCCTCTTCTTGAATAATCTTGAGAGATTTTTAAATGCACACAACTGGAGTTACAGGGTTGCTTTGAATATTCACCAATGCCTACATTGTTTTAAAGGAGCCTTCTTTAGCTGCTGCTTCATGGAAACTTCTGCCCCTCTTCCTTATGTTAAAAGAAAAAAAGAAAAAAGAAAAGAAAACAAAGTGCATCATCTGTATTGAGCTGAACGTGCAGAGGTGTCACTAGGTCTGACACACAAGRAATGGGAAGATACTGCTGATTCAGCTTGCTAGATAACCAAAGCATCAGGTAATGAGCTGCAGTGACCTGGCAGCAGCCCTGAAAGGGGCCAAGGAGTGACAGGCGCCTCTTTACAAGTGCCCATAGGCCAGAATATCTTGGGCTTCTATCTGTTTGTATCTTGTGCTCAAGTTAAGGTTCCTCCTTGCCAGCCGTCTGTGTTGCAGCAGCCGTTCCCGTTTTATCCAATCTGTGTCCCTGGGAGCGGCGCTTCCCTTGTCCGAGGTCCCACGGGCACCCGGCCCCTGCCTGGCCGGGACCTGCCCGGGTGCTRCTGTGCACCCTCAGAGCTCAGGGGCTTTTCCCCTTCCTGGGGCTGCTTTTGGCTGACCCTGCCACAGCCCCGTGCTCTGCAAGGAGCCACTGCAGTAGGGCCATGGCTGATGAGAGCCAGCGCTCGGATTTTCTTAATTCTTTTATCTCTTTGCAACACACTAGTACTGAAATAGCAGCCAGTTAACCGGACTACCTGTGATTCAATTTCTAATGTACACGCTGCCAAATCTACATCCAAAAAAAAAAAGTCTGTCTGTAAGTCATTCAAACCTAAAGCCTTCAAAGTCTCTCTGGCTCCAGAATATCACATGAGATTATCTGTAATCTTTTGACTTGTTCGTTGTTTATTTAAAGGCTGTGAAATGATGAGGAAACAAGTCTCCACTTTAGAAAGTCTGCTTTGCAATGGCTTCTGGTCAGTGCTTTCCACTGGGAAAGCGCCCGAAGTATTTTTAACAGATAGTCTTTTGAGAAAACATTAGAATGCAGTGGATAGGGAACCAGTTTCCCAGAGAGGAAGGTTGAAGGGTTGTGTTGAAGGGATGTGTTGGCTGCTGCTGGACTGTGAGCACTATTCGGTTCCAGTGTTCCCCATCTGCGCAGCAAGACGCCCCTGCTTTCCGAGATCCAGGGCTACCAGCAGCAGCAGCAGATGTGAAGAGCTGCCCTGGAGACCCATGGCATTAGGTGCCTCTTACACATGACRCTCAGTACATGAGCCCTCTGTTAACCTACTCCTCTGGCTGATAGGCAAGTCGTGATCAGAGAGTCTTGCTTTGAGTTTGTTGCATAAATCTCTTCTGAGGAGGACATGGACAGGCTCCGTTTGTGGTTCTCCTCCACGCTGCTGCCCAGACACTGCTGGGTTTGGGGGAGTGATTTAGATTCTGTGCCGTCTCCCCCACGCCATGCAAACAGCAGCCTAATTAAATGGCAGTCACTGTCTGGCAGCAGGGGAGAAGTGGCACATGCCTCTCCAGTTGTGCTCATGCAGTTAATTTGCTCTCCTTTAATGCTTTGTCCTCATGTGTATATGTTTCCAGCCTTGCATGAGGCATCACAGAACAGCAGACAGTGCAAATTGGGCTGTTCGATGAGGGCTGCTGTATTTTGGGGGGGATGCTTTAACATTTTGTGTTTCCTGTAAATCCCACCCCCACTTCCCTTGGGCTGTGGAGCGGTGAGAAACAACCACCTTCCTTCTGCAACGCAGGCTAATGAGACCACTTGAAAATCTTAACCCAACACAATCCCTTCCGTGGATGCAAAGCCACCCACTGCCTGCCTTTTCCAAGACCAGGAGTGCGTGTGTGTGCTGGATTAGGTGCCCCTCTTGCAGTCTCGTTTCAGTAGCAGGGAAGCGCCTCTGTCAGTCGCTTCTCTAATCCCGAGAGCACCGTGTCTGTGCGACAAGAAGCTGGGAGCRTAAATCAAAGATTGTCACAGAGCAGAGCTGCCAAATCACTTAGGCATTAACACTGCTTTGAAAAGCATCGCGAAAACCCATCTTGTTGGAAATATGGAGGATGGTATTCTGTGTATGTTTACTCTTAATTTAAAGAGGTATTAGGAAGAAGAGATGAAGAATTATTCTGAAACTGGGATGGAGCTATACAGAGAAAGGAAATGCAACAAGGACTTTTGTTTATTGATCACCAGCTATGACAAAATCTTTCAGACTTCAGCTGCCCTGATCTCTGTTGAGTTGGTTTTCAGTCCGTATGAACTGAGTTGGTCATCACTTTCCAGATGCCAGGTATTTTTTCATGTTTTGTTAGGAAATTGCACTTGCTGTAAACCTTGGCAAGTGAGGCAGTGAGAAACCAAATCCCATCCTGTACGTGTGCTCTTCCTCATCCCAGGAGGTGTTGATTTATAATTTTCTCATAGTTGCTGCTTTAACACTGTCTTTCAAAACTTCACAGGTTTCATGATCTTCTGCTTGATGGTGCTAAATCATAGATCCTTCAGACCAAATTGTTACCTTCTGATGCTCAAGAGAAGAGCAAAGTCAAGGTAGAAGGTTACAGACAAAATCCCCCAACGCACTGGTGTTGGTATCCACCCCCATCTTGTTTTGAGTAATAAGAGTAAAGAAACCAGAACAGTTGCAAAAAGAGTCAGTTTCTAAAAGGTAATTAAAATTGTTAGGTTATTAAGCTTATTAACTTTAGTGTAGCTCATTGGGGGATTTCTTGTCAGCTTCAATAGAAAATTGAAAACAAGCACTGAATAAATTCTGTTGCGCCTGGTACATGAAAGGCTTTGAAAGCACTTCAGTAATCTGGAATATTCAGCAGTGCCTCCTCTCCCCACCGAAACGTGGCTATTTGGGAGGCAGCGCAGTCTGTTTTCATGCTGCTTGCGGGGCCCAGCTGGGCGAGTTTCACAACCCTCCCTGCAGAGCCATTCCACTCCAGGGCCATACTTGCCAYGTGAGAGCCCGGAGTTGAAGAAGAACTTGGAATTTAAATACCAGAGCTGGAAATTTCCCAAACCAGATGTCAGACTCCCAAATAAGCACTGAAAGAAAGCCACAAGTGTTCCTCGGGGCAGATTGAAGGCCTGTAAGGCTGAGTGAAATTCCTCCGTTTGTATTCCACGTGGATAGTCATTTTTCCCTCTAATTGCAGCAGCGCCAGCAAAACAAAGTGGTTTAGGATTGTATCTTCCAAAGTGCCCTTGAAGTTAAAAGGATTTATGTGCAAGGGGGGCAGATGGGCAGAGGGAAGGGGACAATAACATTTATTCAGTCACTGTGGTCCTGAAGGGCTTGCGAGAGCTTCCAGGGCGTTTCAGGAGAAGGATGGAGTTCATATAAAGGCTGGCGTAACCCATCAGTCTGGATTCAGCCCTTTCTCAGGGATGGACAGCACTGAGCTGCGTGAAAATATCTTTATTTGCAAGGCTTTAGTTGCAAGGCTCAACTTTTGATGTGCTTGAATCTTTTGGGAGTCCCTCTGCAAAATATGCAAGTTACAGTATCGGTATCTTCTCTTTGAATATGTCCTTTCCAGAGTACACTTGTGTGTGCAGCTCTCAGAGCCTGCTATTCTCCGCTTGCCTCAGCAAGGCGGTTACTCTCAAAGGGGCAGCTGTAATTCTTTTATTCTKTTTAATTTGCAAGAGAAAGCCACGGGCCGTTTTGGGTGGCACTAGGTGAACTGCACTGGAGTTTGCAGCAGCTTATTTATTTTCTCTCCTCCTTCCCGCAAGAAGGCAGCAATGACAAGTTGTTTATAAAAGAAAGATATCATTTATTCTCATTCAAAGGGGCTGCAAATCACTTGCTATGAATGCAACCAGTTGCCAACGCTTTGGTGCTGCTGTTAAGGCTTTCCCCTGGGTCTGCAGGAGTGGAGGAAAGGGGTGGTCACAAGGCATATTTTTCTTGGATCTTGAAGGCCTGTTTCATTTCTCACTGGGCCATAACATTTTTTATGGAGCACAGCAGCTGCTGGCTGCTTCAGTTAATTTTGCACTAGTGACGCAGTCCTGCAGGAAGACTCACACCTGATTCATCGGAGAATAAGAAGTTCATATTAAGATGACTTCCTTTCTGCCTTTTAAACCCCGAGGCGGTTAAAGCAATCGGATGTCAGGAAGCATCTCTAGCAAGCAGGATAGTGTGTGCGTCTGGTTATTAATCAGACACCCTGTTCCAAGGCTGCAGTGATGACACAGGGGGTCTGCGATGCCATTTTGTGCGCTGTGAAATAGCAGCCCCCCTCTCTAGCCTGCACTGAGGCTGGTCACAAGACCTTTCAGCACTAGGGTTTTGTCTGATGTAGCTCTCTGCTTTTTTTCCTTCACTCGATCTAGCTCTCCCAGCATGGTGTTAACTTCAAATCAGTGTCCAGTGTCACCATGGAAATCAGCTGCTGGAGSGAACTGATAGCAATCAGAATGAATAATACTGTCTGTTCTTTTGTGGCTTTTTGTTTTTTCTTGCACACCAGTTCTCATCTCTGTCCGTGAGCTATTTAATTGCAAATCTTCTATGACTTTGTTAATTCTTCCTGCTCTCCAGGTAAAGCAGTTCTGCAGACCGTCGGTGCCCTGCAAGATGTCATTCTGCTGTCGAGGGACCTGCTGAAGCCATGACTGTGAACGGGGAGGCTTTCATCTCTGCAGCGTTGAAACCAAAACAAGCCTCACCTCTGAGGAGCTGTTTGTACAGCAGGTTGTACAGCAGGATCTTCTGACCAAAACGTCACCGTCCAGTTTCCTGGTTTCCAAACTTCTCTGTTGGAATGACTAGAGTTCCTCCTTCCAAACGCCACTCCCTTGCTTTAAGAAGTTGCACCATCACCAAGAGATGCAGCCCTGGGTGCAGACTTGCAGCTCATTAGGGTCTAAAAATGTTCTGTAGGAGGAAAATGAAAAGGAAGATTGACTTAAGCTGCCCCAGGGACTTATTTTCTAAAATCTTAATTCAGTTCTTCAGTCACTGTTAAACAGATGATATGTTTAAAGATCAGGTGTGTTTTTCTGGGCMTTACAGAAGTGACTTTCTGTCTAAGTGCTGATGTAAGCCATGCTGAAATGCCACATTATGTCTAGTGTGGGGTTTTTTGGTGGTGGTGGTGGGGATGGAAGAGGTTGAGGAAGAGGTTTTTCGTGTAGAAAATATTCATGACTTGCTACTGACTTTTTTTTTTTTTTTTGGAAGAGTTACACTAAACTTTCATAATGACATTTTCATTGTCTAAAGGAGCTCTGATCAGGCCAACTTAAATAAATGAGACCCCAGGGAAACAGGAAGAATCACGCATGCCCTAACCCACAACAATATTGGATTAAAGAAGATATATTTTTGTAATTTTCTGCCCTTCCAACAGGGAGTAAAACAGCGTTTTATACCAGCCTGCGTCTTGTGCTTGCTGTAAGTCATCTATATTACACAAGAGTCCTCATATGAAATGGTTAGATTGCAGAAAGACAACACTACTTATTTTTCATGCAAGTTTCATGTAAATAAGACTATCAAACTGGAAGTTTTCCCCTACTACCTGCTTGACCGATCCAATTTAACTCAAGGATGTATTTTTAACCCTTAGTCCCTGCTGTGCTTCCTGCTGCAGAGGTCAGAGCAGTGGAAAGGCACTCCGGGAATTAAATTTCCCGCATCTGGATGGGTCGCGTGCAGGAGACCACAAGCTCTCATACATTCCAGACCCTGGCTAGAAAGGGCAGAAGTAACTAGTTCAGTTCCTCTGCTTTGTGGTTTTCCCAAAACACAACCAGATGATGCAGTTCAGATGAGTTTCCCCTTGACCTGTTTATTCTCTATTTCCTGCGCCCTTTTTTTCCTCTGGGGGTTTTTAAGCTGGCTGGAACCTTGCTTTTTTGGGGATTGTGTGTTTTCTACTTGTTCTAGGAGTGTCCCACCATTTGCTTGAGCCTGTAGCAGCCTCTTGCAGTTCAAGGAGTCTCAAGGAGACTGCAGTGCWTCTGGCAAACCACCGTCCTTGCAGTGGGAGTTGCCTTTTTTGGGAGGGTGAAGGGGAGGAGGCTGATAGATTTGACGCTTGCTGAGGACATGAAGCTGCTTTGTCATGATCCCGTTACCTGTGCCAGTTCTGAGCGGTTCCCTTGGGTCCTGCAGTCACTGAAAGGAGGTGAAGGATTATTTTCTAGCAGCCTTGGGCTTTCATCAGAGCTTGTTCCCTATAGTGTAGCTCGTTTTCCCTAGCTATGACTTGGCAAAGGCTCTGCAACCAAGCCATCAGCCCGGGTGTAAAAATCCCACAGCAGACTGTTGCATTAGTATTAGTCATCAAGGCAATATAAAAACACTACATTATTTTCATTCATGGAATGAATTTGAGTCATTCTGTGTTACTGTTACTAAGCAATATTTAACGTGTCAGCCAAGAGGTAAGACTTGGAGGAGCCAAGAGGTTCATCTTCTCACTGGTAGGAATCACCATGTCCAACCGGCTGAGTGATGCTGCAGGCTGAGATGTAATTTGGGGATTTCTTATTCTCCTTCGTACTCTTATTCAAACATGTTACAGGTTTAGGCTGGACGATTCTGAAGGAAATGCAATATCTCCTCAGGAATAAAGAACTTGGAAGAGCAGAGATTGAATTTAGGCAGTTTGGGTCCTTTTGAAGTTAAGGTGGTGATGCTGAAAGACAAGTTGACAGCTTTTGTTTGCCTTTGCAGAAGGGGAGCTAGCACAAAGACTGGTGTTGTCTGGCTTGCCGGTGACAASAGCCGTGTTCCCCCCAACCGGTGTCTCTGAGCAAGCACCATGGCATCATGTGCCCATGTTTGTGCCAGACCTGCTAAGCTGAGCATCTGGCACTTGGGAAGAGTAGTGCAGAGTGAATGAAACTTTTCACAAAGGACAGACAAACTAATTATGTAGGAGAGAGATGAGAGGTAAGAGTGTTTGGAGGATACTTCTTTCCAAGAAAGAATCAACTCTTGAAGTTAGCATGAGTTTTTCTGGTGACTTTTTGTGGACCCAGCCAGGTCACATGCTGAGCTGGGTTGGCAAAGGCCATCTGCTCCCCTTGCTTGTGGCTAAGAATTGCACTGTTTCCATAGTGCGACTGCATCTCACTGTTGGACAGGGGTTGTATTGATGCAAGACACTAATTTTAAGATGCTGAAGGGAGCCGACTGCCTCTGGAAGCCTTTGGCTCCTCCTCAAGGTCCCGGGCCAGGTGCCCTAAGCTAATAGCTTGGAGGGAAGCAGCAGCTGCTTGGTGGAAAACAAGACCCACCTTGCCAGTTGTTCCTGGTCTTAAAAACTCACCCGAATGCTTGGTTCAATACTCAGTTGCTGTTGCAAATGTGAGGCAAAGTTTACCTCTCTACAGAAGTTGCTGTATGTGATTTAAAGTGTCTAGGTAAATATTCTATAGCTATATTTAGTTAAGATTTTTAAGAGCACTTGATGTGACTCATCTAATAGTATATATATGAATATTTTTTTAATGGTAGGAATTAGTTTAATACATAGGTTTAAATAATTTGGATCATTGCGTTGAAGTAGGTTTAGGAGTCCATTGGAGAAGAAAAAGCCATTAACCACTACATGAATGTTTTACTTTCATGTTCCATGTATCTTCTACTGCAGAATAAATCTGGTTGCGACTGTAAAGTTCCTTAGTATTTGCTGCTGTTTCGTGTTGCACAGTCAGGCTTGCTTTGTTCAAGAGTGTTTTTTAAAGGTGTTTTTTGTTATAGAAAAGAGAAACATTTTCATAGATGTCTGCCTGCAGCTCAGCTCATCTCTGCTTGCAAAACCCACCAACTAGGAGCAGAGTGAAGCGGAGCACGTGGATTAGCAGCTGCCTCCTCTTTGGGCATGCGGTGCCACGGAGGAAGAGCCCAGTGCAGAACTGCGGTGTCTTTCCTCTAACCACGGCCCAGGCAGGGGAGATTCCATCTGGGAAGGCAGAAGCCGTGTGTGCTGGTAGAACTGAGTCGGAAGTGCATGGATAGCTTTGGGTTTGTTTTTCCTTTTTTTATTTTTCCCTCGGCACATGTGGCRATGACTGCAAACACTTGTCTAGAAGGCCAACTTGTACACATGTCAATGCTTATCCCAAACCGACTTTGGAAGTGTAGCAAGCACTAATGCACTTGAGTGATTTGCTCATAACTGTTTCCTCTAATTCACTGTATGTGGTATATTCTCTGCAGGGCTGTGGGCTGTGGTTTTCATTAAAGCTTTTCTTTCTGTCTTTTGTTAGAGGAGTTTTGGCATGAGTTGATCAGGACCATGCATTTCATTTTGTGAAAGTGCTTGAACTTTGTTTAAAAAATATGTTTAAGAAAATTTGTCATTGTGACCTAAACTCTTTTTTTTTTAAAAAAAAAAACTAGTAGGACAAGTGTTGGATGGACATCTTGTGTTTCAGTAGAAACTGCCATCATTAAACCTGTTCTTGAAACTGCCCTTTGTTGAGTGTTGTGTTGAGGGAAGGAATGGGGATTGGGGATGGGGCTGTTGCTTGTTGAAGCTCAGGCAATTTAAGACAACCTTGTGTGATCCCTCACTGCAGAGGGTGGCCAATACCTGCAAGTCCCTAGGCTGGTGATCCCAAGTCCAGCACCATGTGACAATGTGGGGAGACTTGGAAAAAAAAATTATGGAAAATCACCTGTCATACATGTACAAATGACATACATGGAAAAAATGCAGTTAGTCGCTCTAAGAAGCTATCGGGAAGTTCACTGTGTAATGAAGAGGCGTAACATTGATCTCTGGGTGGACCTGAATTCTCATCAGGAAAATGAGGGGATTGGAAGGGAAATAAAGACAACCAAACCATCAAAATCCAGGAATAAGTAAACTGGAATAAGTAAGCTGGAAGGATTGAGCTTGATAAAAGTCATTTGTGGAAAGTAAAGGAAAGGTTCAGTTTAGCTCTCTGGATTTTGATGTGGGGATAGCTTGAAATTACAACTAAGGTGCTTGTACAGCAAAGATTCATAGAGAAGCATCCCAAGCTCTTCCCCTGCCTTTTTTTATGGTCCTTTTAAGGGGTTATTCCTCTGATATTCAGAGATCTGCCTAAGTCCCAGCGTAACACATCTTTCCCTTTCTCCTCTAGGTGTCTGCTGCTCTCATTAGCAAACCCTGCCCATGCCCAAGCAAGAGGCTGGCTGGACACATCTATCAAATATGCTTTTAARACCTGTGAGAGGGTGTCTTTCTTGCATCTTGAAGTGCCAGTGATCTTTGGATTCCTTGGTACTGATAACTACGGAATAATCAGTGATGTCTGGCAAGTGCTATCAAAGAGGCATTAGCATAACGCCGAGATGATCTGAATTACGCCTGACAATGAGCTCTATTAGAGTATGAAGCAGCAGCAGCTCTAATTGCTCGAGACCAAATAGTTTGTAACTAGGCTGCACAAAAACACCATTGAAGATAGTTCATCTCTCTATCAGCAAATTGGCAATTACCAAWTTCTGAGAGACCAGAAACACTTCTAAGCTTGGGTTTCTAACAGRCATATGCTCCTCCGAGCTCAGGCAACTCGGTTCCCAGTTGGCTTGCTTTTCGAGTGACCATTTGTTTGTGGCATGTTAAATGAGCTGAATTTAATTTGAAACAGCACTTCCATCTCACGAAAAATCAACTGTTCTGCATAAGGAAACTGTATGGAAGGAGTGACCACTGCTTTTAAAGCTTAAAGCAAGTTGACTTAAGATCCAGATGCAGTTCGTCATAGTTTATGAGGCATAAAGTTAGTTTCTAAGCTCTCCTCCCCTCCTGCTGGTTTCTTTTTTGCTCACTTCCCTTCACACCGGGGACCCTGGCAGCCACGAGACCTGCATGCCTGGGTAGAGATTCCTTCATCCAGCTTGGATGAGAGAAACCTCTTTGGCTACAGAGGGGATGAGGCAGGGAATGCTGGTCCTGAGGGGCTTTCAGAGACGAAAACAAGCCAAAACTTCATGCCGAGGCGCCCTGAGAGGCAGAGTCCCTGCGAAGCTGTAGCTGTGTGCTTAACATCTGATCTGGGAGATATTGCAAGCTTAAACACCAACCTTGAAAGGTGGCCAGCCCTGACTTGAGGACACACTCTAGTCCTTGCCTGTTGCTCCTCACTCCGTCCCTCCCAGCCAACAAGGGCCCCCATGCTCACGTAAGGGAGGACAGATGCCCCTGCCAGCCCTTCTGCTCTGCACAGGCAGAGGGGAGATCGGAGGTTTGAGAGATGAAAAAGGATAAAGATTAGTTAACCAGCTGCACCGTTTTAGCCTGGTTGAGCTGGTTCACCTTTTAAGACTTGTATGGAAGGCAAAGCATGCTCCATACCCTAAGGCCTCCCTGACTCTCCTTGCTTTCTTGTGCTGGCTTCTTTAAAATAAGGAAATTCAATATGCACCTTGTTATTCTGGCCAGCAAAGTTTAGTGACAGATACCTGCTTGGGACCGTTTTGTCCTTCATAGATTCCGAGAGCCGAATCAGCCACTTGAGTCCTCCCTGACCTGTGTTAGGCAGCACAGAGCATTTCTGGGGGGATTCTCTACCACCTCTAACAAGGTTCAGTGAAATAATTGCAGCAGCATTTTTTGTGCTATATATCTAGGGGAGAAATCAACTTGCCCCAGGCAATATGCAAGCAGAAGTGGATCTCTTCTCAAAACTTGCTGGCTCTGCTCTTCAGCTGCAAGTTTCAGGGCTCTGCTCCTTGCCAGGTAGCAGCGTCTTTCACAGCTCTGAGTCTGTCAGAGGAGGTACCAAAAGGGGCTTAGGTTGACTCCACTGTTCCTCATCAGCGCTGGTGCCAGCCCACAGTAATAACTGTGTTTCCGAAGAGCAAAATAAAATGCTTCAAATCATCATCGGTTTCTGGAGGGATCACTTCTAAAACCTTTGCCCTCAACCTGTTTTTCACCCCCTCATGAGTTCCTAGGCTGCCTCTGCCGTGATACAGATATATTTAGTTGAAGAAAAGCTCTTTACAGAYATTTTTTCTCTTCTTCTGCCCTCAATTCACAAAGGTTTAGCTCAGGTCAAGAACATTTGACATTTTCCCACTTCATTTCTGCTTGGCAGTCAGCAGAATCATCTCAGCAGGGCCTTTTGGACGGTGTCTGACATTATCCAGCTCTCTCCCCTCTCCTAGCTTAAGGACTCCCCCAAGGAACAGCTCCTAGTGCTGCCTAGATAGTTTTTTTCAGATAAAAGGGAAAAAGAATTTATTTAAGTATTTTCTCTCATTTTCTTTCCTTGATTTGAGTTTCTTGGCTAGGGACAATTCTTATAGGGAAGAAAAGCGGCCAGTGCTTGGAAGCCAGCAGAGCATTCCCTGCCCTTCTTCCCCTTCCACATTAACACCGGCAATCCAATTGCTCCAACATTTCTGATACAAAACTTTMCATCTATTTTATTCCCATCTGCGGTTGTTTCAGGTTACCTGTTCTGCAGTGTCCCTGGCTGCACAGCGCTGCACCGTGATAGCCCTCATGACCCAGGACGTTCTTGTGTCCCCTGCCGGGTGGCCCTTGTCCAAGGCTGCTTTGGAGAGAGCAAACTCAAACACAATTTACTGTGAGGTTCTGGTCTGAGCGCCTGTAGTTAAGTCAGACCTATTTGAGGCGGATTAGCATTCCTGGGGCTCRCTGGGCTTAAATAAAATGATCGGCACCACGCAGGATGCTCAGGGAGTGGGTGAGGTTGTCCCTAAAGAGCAGCTATTCATTGAGCCGTTCAGCTCAACAACTTACTCCGTCCCTATGYGAGCACGTAGCATTTTAAAATCATGTATTTACAGCATATTGTTTGCTAGTGTTTGAGGAAAGAAATCATTTGTTTTTAACATAATCACTATCAGGAGTAAATTATTCAGCATTCATTACTCGGAAGTTATAAAGGGAATCGGGATTTCTTTTAGTTTCTTCCTCTTTCTTCTAACAGATATACAAGCTGCAGGGCATACTTTTATGCTCCTGCAGCCAAAGCTGTGTGGAATTGACTAATAATCTTTTTTGCATATTTATAAACACTTTATTATTTATTAATGGAGCATTTCAGGAGTAAATTCATAATCCTGCCATGCGATCGCAGCCTTCATAGAGAAATGGCTGCTCATGTCAAAGAGTTTGAAATAAGAACTGGCGTAACAAAGAAACAAGTGAGAATATCTCATTAGTGGGAAAGCAAACTGGGAAGAGCTTTTTGCGAGAATGACTACATACACACAAGATGTTAAGGGAAATAAAAAACACTCTAAATGTCAAAAACAGAACGCGGCGTTCGAGATATATCAATTCCCTGCTCTGCTTGTTAGAAAACACACAACAGCAACCTGTGCAACCAGCAGGCTTGGAGAAGTGCTGGTCCAACGCACTCTGTGCTCGCCCTCCAGACTGCCTTTACTGCACGCAGCCGCTTGATCTCCAGGTATTTTAAGCTTCAAGGGCTTGAACAGAGTCCTGACACCCTTTTTGGTGTATTTGAGCCTGAACATTCATTGCATCAGATCTTCCATTACCTCCCATCCTGACAGTGCTACAAATCACAGACCATTTYCCCATCGCCAGGATCGGAGCCGGATTCTGCAGGCACCCCCAAGCTGCCCAGGGTGATACTCATGCCGACGGCAAGTGCACACACTGATACAGCTTCTGTTACCATCAATATTTCATTTAAACAGAAAACCAAAAGACCTTTATGATATTCAGAGAAAAAGCTTTACCTCACCTGTGTTTAGGACGTTCCTGGAGATCCATCTCTGCTGAGAGCGCTGAGCTTCTCTGGCTTCCTCAAGCTCTTTGTCGATGAAGCAGCTCCCACCTTCCTTGCACTATTTGTGCTGCTCATGCCCCTTGCGCCCTTTATAATTTTCTGATCTTGACCACATCCCGTCAGGTCACCAAATTTCTACAAGGTGATTTCCATGCCAAAGAGACCCCCTGTCTTACCACAGCCTTCACGTGCCAGGCCTAGTTAATTGTTAGAGCAACTGCCTTTACAAGGGTATGGATTTAACTCAGGCTTTCCACAGTCTTCAATATATGCCCTTTAATATATGCCCGTGTGCTTTAGAGGTTCACTGCATTGTGGAGGAGGAGGCTCAATCAGGACACGAGGATATAGATTGGGAGCAGGTTGGCAGGCTGTGTAAGGACCAAACTGGGGGCTGACGGTGTCTGAATTATTACAGATATTGCCGTTTTCTGCAGTTCTTGCAGATTCCTCACACCACAGCTTGTTACGTGTGAAGCTGCCGTAACCATCCAGGTGCC